GGGGGGGGTGGTAAGAAAGAAACCTGCTTGGAAATAAGAGTTCAACAAAAAGGCAATGCAGGTTGCCATTAATCCAAGCAGAACCAAACGGTGGCGACAGAAAGATCCAAAATGGGGGGCAAAGCGGTGCTGGCCGGGGAAGGGGGGGGGTGCAGACATCCTGCAGAGAAGCAAGAGCCTGGCGTCGCTGGATCACCAGGCGAACAAACGACTCAAGTATTGGTTGGGGAAACACGATCGCTTCGCTTCCCTTTCCTCCTCGGAATCAGCTTTACAAATACAACAAATAGGCCTGATCAACAACCACTAAAATAATTAGATGTGATCGGGCAAGGGACGGGCCGGACTGTCACCGAAACATTTCTCCATAAGCAGCTACATAAAGAGATAATCTATTAAAATAAATCTATCATTGTCCATACAATTGGGGAAATAAAACGAGAACCGTACAATGGGGATACCTTACAGCATTAGCGGCCAAAAATCATAAACAAAAAAAGTGCCTCGCGCTAACAAGGGCATAATGTTGAAGCCTAACGACCTCCTTCAGGGAAAAACGATCTTTTAAAACTTCTCAAGTCACTTACTAATCTTTTGTGAATTATATTCCTCTTGGGTCTTTCTCTGGTCATCCTGTTGTCCCAATTTTCTTTGCGAAGAAGAGAAAATTCCACATGAATCAATCTCGTCAATGTGGATAAGCCCTGGCTGGTCTATATTTACAAAGCTCCCTCTCCGTGCTTGCCGTGCTTGCTCTCCTTTTGATTAAATCCGAAGTTGGGAAGAAGGAAAAAATAAATAATTCACTTCAATAAAACATCTCTTTTTCTTTAAAAAAAAGGCTCGTCGACACCAGGCACATTTACTGTTCCCGAGCAACACGAAGAGGACAAAGTAAAAAATAAGCTACGTATGGTGAAGTTACATCTTGGATAAGAAAAAAAACATGGGGGAAGAGAGAGAGAGAAGGGGAATAAAATAATGTAGTCACGTTCTGTGCAGAGACAGACGAGAGTCTCAAACACACACACAACTCAAGCTCATACTCACACTCCCACCAATCACATCCCTTTAACTTTAAATGGCTACGTTAGGACGCTCCCGGCCACGCACACTCAGTATAGCCCCTGTCGGAGAGCTCATGAGCTGCAGTATTGCCTGGGACTTCCCTTTTACCGTCTCCGTCATTCTCTGTGCTCCTCTCTCTCTCTTTCTCTCAAATTGTGTCCTTCAATGCCACGCTCACTCACTCTCCTTTCACAGTGCCCTCTGTGAAAACACAAAACACACAAATTGCATTCGCATAGTGCCTTTCGCAATCTTAACAATTTGCAAACAATGAAGTGCTCTTTTGAAGTGAAGTCACTGCTGTAATGCAGGAAATGCAACAACCAAACTCTAGCCAGCAAGGTCCCACGGATGTGAGAATGATCAGAGAATTTTTTTGCCGGTTGAGGGATAAATATTTTTAGAAATACCCTACTCTTCATCAGAATAGTACCATGAAACTTTGTATTTTTGTCTGCATTCGCCAGAAACTCAGACATACTGTTACAGGAAACAAAGCATAAATCAGCAATTAACCCTTAGAGCTGGAACAATGATTTGCTGAATTGCTGAACGTCCTCTCAAGCTGTGGTGCTATCAATAAAAATCTGAATCACTTCTCACTCACTGTTACTCAGTCGTAGTGGTACAATATGACAGAGGCTTCAATTTAATTTCTTATCAAAAAGATAATGAGGTTACCAAGAAGAATTCTCCTTCTCAACCTCTCCCCTCACCTGAAGCACGGTGACCCTCAAGTTAAACCACCATCAGTCATCTCTCTGTAATGAGAGAGCAGCCCTATGGGCCAGTAGGACTATGGCAACTTGACTTTGCCATGCTCAGTGATGCACTGACTTGTCAGTTTTGATTTTTGTCCTCAAGTCTCTGGAGTGAGACTTGAAAGTATAATTTTCTAACTCAGAGGTAATGACTGCTGTCACTGACCCACAGCTGGCACCTGTAACATCAACAGAAATTGCTGGAAAAGCTCAGAAGGTCTGGCAGCATCTGTGAATGAAAAAAAGAGTTAACGTTTTGGGTCTGGTGACCCTTCCTCAGAACCGGACCCAAAACATTAACTCTGTTTTTTCCTTCACAGATGCTGCCAGACCCGTTGAGCTTTTCCAGCAACTTCTGTTTTTGTTCCTGATTTACAGCATCCGCAGTTCTTTTGGTTTTTACCTGTAACATCAATATGGATTATGTAAATATGTTTATATGTGCACCCAATCTTTCCTAGTTCCACACTGATGATGGAGACCTTGCCTGCCACCAGAGTAAAACCGAAAACTGCAGTGCAACAAGATTTAAATACAAGATTCCAGTGTGAAATCAAGAAATTAATGTTACCCCATCCTGATGGAAGCAGAAGATCACTGAGGATCCATTGCAGGTCAGTCAGCATGTGCAAAGGAGAGAACAAGTTAATGTTTCACATTGTATTGCTTGTATCAGCAAACAAATAAATTCAGTTTATGATTATTAGTTTCATTGAACTCAGGTACAATGTGAAAAAGAGTTAAGCAACTGGTTTTGTCACTAAGTACACAAAAATGATCATGACAAATTGCTAATTTCAGGAGTGTTGGGAATTCATTATTTGCTCGAATTTCAGAACCAAGCTTGCATTAGATCAAGTGTGTTCTAGCCCAGTTCTGGTCTTATTCAGCACAGGTTCACCACAGATTCACTTCTCAGAGACAACTTTTAGTTTGATAATTTGGTGCAATTCTAATACAGGATGATTAGGCCTGTGTTTTCCAATTTAGGTAGTGTCATACATCAGATACACAGATACAGGATTTACCGAGTATAAATCGACAATTAATCCATAAAGCAGGAATAATTATTCTGAGGATTAATCGCTGATCCCCTCTGAAACTGCATGTTGTCAGCACGGGGATGTGTTCTCACTCCCAGGTAACTCAGCCAAGCGTGGCACAGGACATGGGTACAATAGGAAATTAAAATTTTTTAAATTGCAAATTATATTGCCACCAAGTCATTAAGAATCATCAGCATTAATGACTCAGCATTGACAAGCAAAATTATAACAAGGTCTTATCTGACCCTGTCCGTCCACAGGCGACTGGAGTTGTGCAGACACCTTGCCTACACAAAACCATTTTTAGCCTGTACTGCACCTTCAGTTCCACAACAATTAGACTTATTTTTACAAATACAACAATGAGATTCCTTTTACTCCAATGAAAACAAATATTGATGGATGGATATTACTGCTTCAATTTTACAAATGTGAAAAAAAAATAATTTACTAACAATTCATTCACATTTATATTATGTGAAATGATTAATGGCATTATTGCTTCAGTGAATTATTGTTTCATTTCACTGCAGTAAATTATCATGTGGGAAGCAGTGAAATTATTGACAACCTTTGTGTAGAATAAATTTAGATACTTTATAACTGAATTTCCATGCACCTGAGCACTGAAATATTTTTGCACAAATGAGTGACTGGCTCCCTTTTATATTCAGATGTCATCTTGATCTACTGTTAATTGGCTTTATTTCTTTAATTTCTAAATATTCAGTTTATTGATGCAACAGTGCAGCAAAGTTTGTCTTATAACAAATCATTAAACTTATTACTTTGCTTGACAAGTTAACATTGCAGGCGAACTAAGTGATTGAATTAGGCAACAATTTAGTTTTTGTTTGTATGGTGAATCTATTCACAAAACAGTAATGGACATCATTAGGGATATCCAGTTGTTTACTCCTTTTCTCATCCAGCATTTATCACTTCCCAGTTGATTTCATATGAGCTGTCAGATGAGTGCAATTGCAAGGATGTTTGTCAAGTTGCTGTACTTTCTCTCAAGTGTCTGATATTTGTATGTGGAACTTGGACAATGCGTGTCAGTAGGCTATTCAACTATGAAGGGCTTTGTGACAAAGCCCAAGTCAGTTATCTCCTGACATCCACGCACATGACTTTCTATCAGAGGACTGATGAATAATGGTGATCAATAGCGGGAAGCTCGGCTAACTTTACCTTCTCTAACCTATGGTCCTCAGGCCTGGTGTACTGCCTGAGAATAGCTAATTCAGCAGAAGGATGAATTGATCTGGAGCCTTTGACTTAGACCACTAACTCAGTTTTATGCTGAGTCATTCAGAATTTGGAGTCATCACAATGTTAGTTATCACTTCTTTGCAGAGGCATTAGGGACTACTAACAGAAGGTTGAGTCAATATATGTAAAGACTGTCAGATTAGAAAAAATTCAATCTTTAATGTACAAAAAAAATACTCCAGGCAACAAACCAAGGAGACAGGGTTTTCCACCCTGTAATTGCAAAAAATGATATTTGTGTCAAATATCTTGTCTTGGTAGAAAGAAGCCTTAGTGTCAGTAGGAATTCTCAATGGTGTACTATTCAATTTAATTTGTTCTCACACACCATTAATAGTAAAGATTTATTCCTAATTTAACCCTGCCCCTCAAAGTCATCAACATTGCTAACCATTGCTCCATGTGATTTCATATCAGTTCACATCAAATTTTCATGCCTTCTCAACCCTAGAAAGAAACTTAATTGTAAGCAATTGCTACTCAGGTTTGTGGCTTACCACTACTATCTCAAATCTGGCCTCAATTGTGATGGTCCTAATAGCAGAATAGCTGACGAATTTCACCTATTCAGCTCACATGCAAAACATGACCAATTAAGTGAGTTACTAGGGGAAGTTCAGTCATTGGTGGAACCATAATCCAGCATGACTTCATGCCTTAAGGAAACAGCTGGAGAAAAATGAAAAGAATAAAAACTTCAAATGTAATGACTTTCATTGTGTACATGAACAACAACTTGTCTTTATATGACACTTTTAATACAGTGAAATGCCCAAAGGACTTCACAGCAACATCAGAAATGGGTTTTCAAAAGAAAAGAGGATTGGAGAGATTTAAAAAATAAATTCCAGAGTTTAGGATTTTGATAGCTAAAGGTATGGCTGCTACTGATGGAAGTAATAATATCAGGTGCTGAAGAGTTCAAAATTGAAGGAAACTGCACAATCACAAAGGGTTTTGGGGATGAAAAAGCATATACATAGATATAGAAAAGGCAAGATCATCAAGCGACTTGAAAGCAATTGTAAGAATTTTAAAGTTGGGGTGTTTTACTGCACGTCAGTACAAATCAGAAACATAGTGGTGATGGATGAATGGAACTGATGCAAGATAGAACACATACACAGAATTAGATGACTCAAGTTTACAGAAGGTAGAATGTGGGAGGTTGGACAGGAGTGCATTGGAATAGTCAATTCAATACAATGAAGGCATGGATAAGGGAATTAGGCAACATTATGGAGGGGGAAACAGGTAGTATTAGTGATGGTCCTGCTGTGTGATTGAAAGCTCATTCTGGGATCAAATCAGGCACCAAAGGTGCAAGCAGTCTGATTTGGACTGAGGAAAAGGGATAACATCAGTGACTAGGAGGTGAACTTTGTAGCAAGGCAGAAGATAATCGCTTCAGTCTTCTCAATATATAGTTGGAGGAAATATCTGCTCATCAGTTCTGGATGTTGGACAAGCAATCTGACAATTTAGAGATGTCAAAAGAAGTAGTGGTGAAGTAAAGCAGGGATTCAAATGTAAAGCATATGTTTGCAACAGACTATTTCTATAAAAAAACGTTCCAGGTGAAGATAATGCTTCTAACCTCTGATCAAATTTTATTGCTATTTCTGTAAAATTCCGTAACATACGACAGAAACAAAACTCTCTTCCTGAATAATCACCTGTTTTATCATAATGATAACCTCATGGTATGATTTCTTATCATCCAACACTATTGCCAAGTCTTATGGTATAGAGTCATATCATCTAATCGTTCAAAGTTTGAAAATTTTCAAGTGAGAGGTTCAAAGGTTTCTTTCAAAATGTGTGTTATTTCTTTACTGGTAGCTAATCAGAATTTACCTCAAGATATGAGAGAACATATTGTGAACCCTCCCACTAGGTTAAAGAAAGTTGGCAAGTATGACCTTTCACTGTCACTGCCTTCCCTCTTTATGTTGTGTTTACATGAATTAAAGCAAAACCTCAGGATGCAGCAAAGTGC